CACACATAGGACAATATATTAATCACATGATGACAATCTAAAAAGAGACACACAACGTGTATACTATTTGCAACCATCTGCAAACTCATGGAACAACACTATAACACACATTTGCATGACTAGTCACAGATCGATGGTGTAACTTCTAAACACAGAGGCAGACGAGTCCTTACAATTTAAAATATTTAATCTTTCTGATTGTTATTGGTGTGGTTGACAAGCCAGAGGGCCCCTGGCTTCCCAACACATCACTAATAACAGAAAAACATTATCAAAATTATCAAATGTGAAGTGCCTGCACTTCATTTCTATCAATCAATCAGTCATAAAATATACAATTCTACCAAACCATCAACTGTGACTTAGCCTGCATATAAGATACACACACATACACACACACACACCACACACGCATCTGTTACAAGGAATTCAGGATTTCCATTCTAGAAGAATTCTAAATCATGTTCTAAGTCACTTCTTAGAAACCTTAGACCTACATAAGTGACTTGCTTTGGAAGATTCCTGAATGAACAGTGTGATTATTATATATACCTACATAATGATTGTGATTGAATATTATTATTATTATTGTCATTATATGGCTTGGTTATTGATGCATACCTCTACATTAATGTCCAAGTCATAGTGACCTCTTGCTGCATTTCCTTTGAATCATTCAGACCAAGAATACCTAAATTAATGGGACCACTCTATCATGCGTGACCTTGAAAGATATTTAACACCAGATGTACCACTCGCACTTGCTGACATGAATTCATCAGGTCTCTCTTTTGTTTCATTGTTCTTATGTTAATTTATGACTTTTCTATATTACTCCATGGGTGACGACGTTAAGTTGATCAGAATTCAGTCATTGAATGGCCACTAAGATGCTTTTCAGATGTCTCACACAAAGCAGTGTGTAAGCAAGGAGAACCCCTTCACCTATTGAAGTCTGCCCAGATAACCGCACCGCTGGAGGTGAGAGGATTCATGAAAATGGGTCGGACTATCGTCCTAGAGAAGGTGCCACAAGGAGCAGAGGTTTCTCCATAAAGGAATGACACGTAAACTGAACAAGACATAAAGGCCCAGACTGACTCACTGAACTGTGCTCACGTGCTGAGCTCAACCACAGGTAGAAACTCTGGAGACATTCATCCACCTGCCAAACTCAAGCAACACACACCTGCTGAGACTGAATGTTCTGCATATGAAAACAGCCCTCAGAAGGTTTCTACAGCTGCAAACATCACAAAGACAATTTTGAGTTAACATCTCAAGGATGGACAATCACCGAACAAGTGACCCCATCGGATTCACCTATATGTGACCCATTGCGGTCAAATGGGCGACCTTAATTATAGATTTATTTTATATATAACAAAGTAACTACTCTCCTAATGCTTCCATGTAGTGCTTTATCGCTCCAGCATATGAAAATAAACACAGAAATGATATCAAACAGGTTTTATTGTTTAAACACACAAGCTTTTGACACTTCAAAATGATTAAGTTGTAATACAGAAGTATGACTTTACACTCCACCTGAACCTGCATTTATGTGTTTACTTGACACTTCTTCAAGTCTTTCAGCGCAGCAATGCTGAATCCACTAGATGAAAGACCCCGATCAAGGGTCACGTCATGCCCAATGTCTTTTACCAGCGTAAGCAGGAATCGTGGGGTCACAACCTCATTCAGCCATGGGCTCCCCAAACTGGAACATGTCCTGATCATAGAGGTCTTCAGGGATCTCTTCGTCTCCATCAGCAAAGAACGTGGGGAACGGCGGGTTCTTGTTGTTCTCCAACCGAGTGGGCAGAATAGAGTCCCTGACCTGATCGAGCAAACGTAAGCACTACATTTAAACAACTGGAGAAGAATACACTCCACTAGGTATTATAAAGTCATCTGTTCTTGAATGAAGTCAGTCTTTGAGAGAGTTTAACTTTCGGTTGAGTGTGTATGTAAGCAAACTCTACGAGACGAAATGCTGACCACATATGAACGATTCACTGATGCACTTTGGACACACAAACGCCTCTGCGAATTGCTATAGATGAATCAGTCAGCAGGAGTGTGCGCTAGCGTGCCAAGGTCAGTGCTTGTGCTGGCATGGACAGTACAGTACGTAACTCTTTTTTTAGCTGAACACTGCTGAAAGTGAAGACAGATGCAGAAAAGATAAAAGCAGATCCTTCACCTTCAGAAAGATATTCTACCTGAGGACAAGTGCATTTGACTTCGCACACTTGAGAGTTTGAGTATGTGTGAGGCGTTTTACCTTAACAAGACAGTTGCGGTGACCCGGGACAGAACCGTTGACGTAGAGGATGTTATACTTGGTGTTCACCCTCCATACCTGCCAGAGAAAAGAGCTTAGTGAAACTACAAATACTCACAAATGATTTTTCTCACCGGGTGACTTTACAGTAGGTGTCTCCTGAGACCAAGATATATTATGGTAGAGCTGAGCTTTGAAATTGTGCTTACTGTGTATTTTGATGTGTAATAACAAATTAATTCAGTTTGCTTACTTGTCATACTACACAAAAAATGTTTATGCCACCCAATATCTGCAATGCAGCATCATGTAAACTGCACAGTGCAATGCAGAGCACAAGTATCAGCAGAACATGCCTTTGGCTTGATGGACAAATGAAAAGTACAAATGTATAATAAACATATGTACATACAATATTAATTTATATACAAGTTTCATAATGATTTTAAAGCACATTTGTGCATTTTGGTAGGTGTACCTTCAAGCCATGAGTGGTGTCGTAAATGTTTCCCATCCTGCCTGGCATCTTTTTTCCTTTAAAAACTTTTGCTGGGTCCTGAGAGCAAGGAGACAAGTTATTTTACTCATCCATTAGCCATTCAAAGGGCATGCTGAGGTCACGCTAAACTCTCCTGACAGTCACAGCTAACCAGAATGACTGACGTGAAACCTCTCAGAGAGGAAAGTGCTTCGATATCTGAAAAAATACAGTGTGGGGAAAATCTTGTGCTCCTGAGAAGAAATTCAATCAGTTCCTAGCATCTGTGACAAAATTGTAAATCTGGATCAAACAGGAAACTACTACACTACTATTCAAAAGTTTACAGTCGTTTTTGTTTTGTTTTTAAGAACTTAATGTTTAAATCAAAACAAAAACAGTAATATTACAAAAGGTGTGAAATATTATTACAATTTCAAATATGGACGGTCTTAAAGGGGTCATATGATGCTTTTTTAAAGATCATTATTTTGTGTATTTGGTGTAACAGAATATGTTGACATGCTTTAATGTTCAAAAAACACATTATTTTTCAAATACTGTACATTATTGTAAGTCCTCTATGCCCCGCCTCTCTCAAACGCTTCGTTTTCTACAAAGCCCCCTCCTTTGACAAGCGCAGTCCGCTCTGATTGGCCAGCTGACCCAGTGCATTATGATTGGCCGAACACCACAAGCACGAGTCGGAAATGTAACGCCCCTTACCATAATCGCAAGCGTTAGCTTTCAAAGTAAATATCAAGACAGTTAATAATGTCATTAGTTTTACCATCAGTTCAAGCCCGAAAGGACAACAGAGTCGCGTGACAGACACAGTGAGGAAGCTGGTATGTGTTTGCAGTACACAAGCCACGGTTAAATGATGAAGCTGGTATGTGTACACAAGCCACGGTTAAGACAGCTGACTCCACTGTGATCACACACACGCGCGTGCGCGCACACACACACACACACACACACACACGATGCGCAAAACTCCGCATTTGAACAGTCAATAGCAAATACTTAAACTAATAACAAGTAATAACAGTAAGTAAACTAATAACAGTAGCTGATTCAGAAGCGCCAGATTGTCATAGCAAAGTCAGAATTACCTCCTCTCCTAGGTTCACGAAACGGTCGTCCATAAAATGCATTGCTGTTCTGTTGTAAGTAATCTTAAAGATTCCTAAATGCATCTACTTTCGGAAGGCCAAATAAAGTGCTTTTGCTTTCGCCTAGAAACACACAGCGTCTCCCTGACATGCTGCTTCAACACTAACCGCGGCTACCGAAACCACGCCTTCTTTCTTTGCGTGCACATTTGGGCGGCATTATGCTAATATTTCCACATAGTGAGGTAGATATGTGGGGGCGTGTTAGAACGAGCCGTTTTAGGGGGGCGTGGCAGAGTCTTAACTTTGATAAAGAATATCTCTTTGGTTTTGAGACTTTAGTCTTTGCAACTTCAGGGATCTTATCTATGCACAATCAGCTTGTAACAGTCCAAAGAGAAAGGAAAACTTGAAATCGCATCATATGACCCCTTTAAGCGTCACATGAGCCATCAGAAATCACTCTAATATTCTGATTTGGTGCTCAAGAAACATTTCTTATTGTTATCCATGTAAAAAACAGCTGTGTTGCATAATATTTGAGTGGAAATAGTGATACCTTTTTTTAGGATTATATGATTAACAAAGTTCAAAATAATTTATAAAATAGAAAAAAACAATTTCAGCTTTCTCTACAAAATAGAAAAAGCTTTCATTCTTACTGAACTGACCACAACTTTTGAACAGTAGTTTATATATGAATAAACAAAAAAAATGAAATACACTGCCCATGTATCAAGCATCCCTAGAAAAAACACACAGCAATCACACTGCAAAGCCCACTAGCATGAAGTGATACTCTAGAAGTATAGAAATGACTACACTCACCCCTCCGGGCCCCAGAGAGCCTGGCCTCCTGTGTGTTTTAGTTTGTCCATGGGAAGCTGGCTGACCTTTGAACCCCCAGCGCTTCATCACTCCCTGAAAACCTTTGCCAATTCTACAATAAAAAGATCAACAGTTTTAATACAGTAAAGATGTAAACAGAATATTTAGTAATCATACACTGTGTAACAACATAAGAGTTGGATGAAGCTGCAGACAGGCAGGATCTCAGCCGTGAAACAGGGCTGACACGACTCAGATGCTATGATTAATCAAGAGTTCTATGAAGCAAGGCTCTTTTCATTAAAGGTGATGGGTCGCATTTCTTTCAATGTTAAAAATACTTTCTCTTATCCCAGTTTAATATGCAGAGACAAATAGTAATTTGTAAATTCACCAAAAATACTGTGTCGCCATCAAATCATTGCTCAAGTTTGACACTGGATCAACCAATGGTTTGAGTTTGAGGTGGGACTATCCATTTTTCTGACCAATTGTAGACATTCAGGAAACCTGTTTGAAAAAAATCATTATTTTTGCAATTTCATTTGGTGACACTAGTGGCACATTTACTGAAAATGCACAATTGCACACACTTTAAAGTATTTTAGAATATGATTCCTTTTCTATTATTCTAATAGGAAAATCTCAAGGACTCACTCCCTTAGATTCACACGTTCATTATTTGATGAAGAGATGAGGCCCTTCAATAAAGGTACAAGGGAAAGAGTGAAATCAGGCACTCCGGTTTGGGACAGTAGGATGCATGCCTTCTGCTGACCAAAATATCAGTCAATCAAGCTTTTTGTCAGCATAAGAAATACGCATCTCCCTTCATTCCATTTATGTCAGAAAGTAAAAAGAGTTTTGCAGAAAAACTTAAATTAATCTAAGAATGAGAGGAAAGAATAATATCTAGTGTTGATTAAATCATCAGCTCATGAAACTTCATGCACTGTTAGTATTACTAAATGGAAATTCAAAAAATAAGGATAGATTCATATATTCCCTGTCTTCCACTGGTCAAACAGGCAGAGGATCCAGACCCATTGTTTGAGCCAATGTTGCCATGTCAGGCTGGGCAAACAATGAGCACTATTTTGAAACACTGCGTTTAAAATGGGAATGACTCTACAAATGGGTTATTAATTTTTTAGTAGTCTTTGCATATTAAGCTGGAATATAATAATTTAGCATGGAGAAAAGTACAGTAATAATTTTTTTAAATATTGATTTTATTAATTTAAAATCATTTTTAATATTTTCCACTTTAAAACATGTACTTGACTCACGTTTTTGCTGTGACATCCACATATTGTCCTGGACGGAAGTGAGCTGCATAGATACAGGGAATGGTTGACAGTCATTTTATCAGTACGTAGGGCACACATGGAAACCAAATAGCCAGGGACCAAGGCTGTTAACACAAAAGGTTACAGCTGCTAATGACAAACTCTCAAATATGTAATATGGAGCACTGCCATGAAATTGTTATTTATAAAACTGCCAAAAATAGAGGAGTGCCTAGAAAAATAAATAAATAAAATAATAATAATAATAATAATAATAATAATAATAATAATACAGAACACAGAAAGAAAACACATGAAAAAAAACAACAAAAACAAAATAGAAGTAAAAAAACAACAACAACAAAAACAAAACAGAAAAAAACAATACAAGAAAAAAAAAAAACAGAAAAAAAATAGAAAATAGTAAAAAAAAAAAATTAAAAAAAATTTTTTTTTAAATATATTTATTTACTCAAACATGTAATTTAAGGGATACAGCTGAAATGACTTAATTCTTTATCTGGCGATAAGCAAAGAGTTCTGACATGTGAAGTAACCTGGTTTGATGATAGCGTTGTCTGACACACAAAACGTGGTGAGTTTCTGTTTGGGAGGAACTCCTGCATTCCGGAAAACCTCTAAATATCCCTCTGGCCTCTGTGAGAAAGACAGATTGACTTTCAATTACTTCAAGTGATTTACTAACTTATATAATCCTACAAAAGGAGAAAGGGAGAATGAAAAAGAGAATACATTAAAGCCAAACTGCTCTGCTGTGTTTTGGGAGTTGACTGACTGGCTGTGGAGAGACTGAAGGCTCAGACTAAAGGTCAGGACAATTGACAATTATACTTCAAGCAGCACTTTGTGGCAGTTGTCAAATATAGACAGATGACACACAAATATACACACCAGCTTACTGCCAAAAAGGAAAAAAAGGGACACTGACCAAAGTTTTTTTTCACTACAAACTCCACAGAACAGTTTAGTTCAGCTGTTTTAAAAAAAATCCTCCCATCTATCACTGTTAGTCTTTTAATCCTAGCACATATAGAGAAAGACAAGTGAGAGAGAGGAGCGAGAGAAGAATACAATGACAAAAGTTGTACAAAAGACAAGAAGTCCTGGTTTTCCAATTTGATTTCCCTTAACATGTGCACATACACACACACATACACAAAGGTGACCTCTACATCTACTGAGAGCTCAGCAATTTCTCTCCAGGAGCTCTTCAGGTCTTATTATACTCCCTCTCCAAAGAAGCAGAAAAGCTCTAGTCTATTATCCTGTTCCACCTCAGAGAGGTCAAGGACCGCCAGAAAGGTGAAGAGACAAGGGTTCGTTATGAGGAGGAAAACGTGCGTGGACAAGAACAGCCTTGATTTGAAAAATGTTGAAGACTTTTCTTTCTCACATGAAACGGAGAGACGTTTTTTCCACCCACAATCAGAGCCGCTGTGTGCCCCTCATACTCTTCCTTGGAGAGATGTTTCACGACATGACAGTCCTGCACCTGAGAGAGAGATTTGGATGTGTTAATGTCATATTTGATTGAGATGCCATGGGAAGTCCAGCTTCCTTGAACAAGCTTGGAAAAAGTACCATGCTCAGGGACACCGACTCAATGGAGGCTGATTCTGGTGTTTTGGCACATCGTTTAACCATGTTTCCATACCTCAGCAGCACAATATAACAGACCAGATTAAATGTATTTATCACTAATGCATCAATTCAGTAGAATTTGGAGACTACGTGAGATGTAGAGTTGTCACAACACGTTAAACATACCCTACTGGACAATATCATTTAAAGAATCACAATATTGTTCTTAAATTATTATTAATATTATGTGTATATAACACATTCGAAGTGACTATCAATTAGGGCTGCACGATAAATCGCATGCGATATTTAACGAGCATCTTGTCAGTAAAACCGGTTCTTTAATCAGCGGTAAATCTCCATCACGTGTGTGCTTTCACATTGAGC